GCGAATAATGCAAAAACATGTTATTTTACGAAACCATTTGGTTCCAAAATGCAGACATATTTATTAAAAGCTAGTTTATATAGATATACTATTGGCACGTGTATTTAACGGAAAGCAAATTTCAATATGGTGTTAAATAAAATACGACAATTAAGCAAAAAAAAAAAAAAACCTGTCATAAACAGTGACATGCGCATAGACATCTAAATAGTTAGAATAGCACTCACTTCGATGCCAATAACATGTTTTTTCTTTGGACTTGTTCGTTTGGGTCAGAATGCTGTCGGTTCACGTATTCAGCTACCGCCTTGGCCGGAAACTCAGTCTCGCATACATAACCAAAATCTCTGGCCAGATGCACCGCTTCACCTAGAAGAAAATAAGAGTCAGTATGTGTATGTTACTGTAATAAAATGTAGACTAATTAAAATAGTTCATAATTGTCATCTAGCCTAATTAACGTCCTCGACCATTGAGCAGGACATCGATCTTTATCAATTCTGACATTGTTAATGCACATTTATTTTCTATTACCTAATAGATAATTGAATTCTGTCAAATGTGTGCGTCAAAATGTGCCCTCCTTGTGAGATTAACAGAACATAAGATACTGAACGATTGACACCATGTCATTGATTCGTGGTCCTGTTATCAAATATTAGAATGTTGTTCTATATAAAACAGCTAAAACATCCGATACTCCGACTAGGTCTGCGCGTTTGGCTATTTTTCCCCCTTTGGTTTTAATTTCCTGAAACAGTTGGATTTTTACTGCAAGCCTTCCTGTCATAAGCCTAGAATCCGGAAGAACGCATGCGCCAATTAGCATCAAAGCTCAACTCTACTAAACTGCTTTCCATAAAATGGAGCAGATCATAAACAATAACAGCACTTCAGAAAGCCAGTGTCCTCCGACTAAATCAGCGTCTGCTTGCGTGTCCACCACCCCCACCCCCTCGCCCTTATCTCGCAGGAATCATACATTTCTTCAGGCTCATTACCATACAAGACTAAATTTCAATGAAGCACGATGAATATTACATTCAGTCTTCAGCGGCAATGATTAACAGGAACCAATGAACCGTCTCCAGCTTTCACCTTTAAAACCCATGGCACACCAAATACCACTGCACGGAATAATCACCTCCAACTTTGCAAGCAAAATGGATTTATTCAACAGCAATGGCATCTTCGCAGTGCAACATAATTAACTCATTTATATTTTATAATAGGCTTTCAACCTACAGGTCAACTGCATCAAGCAGACAAGGACAAAACCCACAAATAATAATAATAATAATAATAATAATAATAATAATAATAATAATAATAATAATAATAATAATAATAATAATAATAATAATAATAATAATAATAATAATAATAATAATAATAATAATAATAATAATAATAATAATAATAATACATGTCATAGTGATTTCGGCTGTGGTGCAATATATCCAGCAACTGCATAAAAGTGTCATAAAACAGCATTGCAAATATGACACAAAGTAGGCCGTACAAAGACATCCGAATTCACACCATGCTCAAAATTAAAGACAATTGGTGCTGCTAAAGGTATAAAGGAGGGAGAGAGAGAGAGAGAGAGAGAGAGAGATTTCTGTAATCCCACAATATTGTTTTCCAAATTGTATCTCCGGAATCCGTTCTTTCTTTTTTTATCCTTCAGCTTTGTTGCTTGCAAAACATACTTTCTCCTTTTCACGGATGAATGCAAATGCTTATTTAGAATGGCTCTCATGTAGCAGCAATAAACACCTGCTTTATTAAAATATATATTTATCAGGAGACTTACCTTCCACCAGTGACGTCAAGAGAGTAACATTGGCAGCTTTGCGTCTCCCTGCTGGTAGATTTAATCCGATTTTATCTAGCTTTTCTCTTAAAGATCTTCCGCCATTCTTAGATTTGGCCCTTTAAAGTAAATGACAAAAATGTTATTAAATGTCATTATAGTGTTGTTATTATGTTATAATTATTTATTTTACTGCTAATCATTATATATGCTATACATTATACATGCAATTTATATTTTATATATTTACATATCATTTATATTAAAATTTCTAATATTTATAATAGCCTGGAGCACGCATACCCTTGAATAATAAAAAAAAAAAGTCAGTCGTGTGTCCCCCAAGAGACCTGTTTATTTTAGATAACATCTCTTCAAGTTACTTTTTTATGCTAAAAGAAAGACATGATGCTTTAGAGGATGCCATGGAATGTTTCAAAAGTAAAAATCTAAATAAACAAATAAATAAAACATTTATTTTATTTCCCACTGTCATCACGTGAGATAGAGTCTATTAACTCCTGTTGCATTAAGATATTACAGCATGTGCTCATTGCGATTGGGTAGGCCACTACAAGTATATAAAAAAAAAATTCAGGTTCAGAATTTTGCCTGTGTTGAGGTATGATTTTTAATAGGCTGTCATTTCGGTGGGTTGTGGCGACGGAAAGCGCTTGATAATAAATAATTACTGATGTATGGATGGATGTCCAGCTCACCTCCTCAAGACTCCACCGAGCAGGGAAGCGTTCAGGCACTCAGGCGGAGAAAGACGTCTCTGCACCTCCGCTACTGTGACTTTGTACTTTGACGTTGAGCTAAGAAGAGACAGACGACCCGGAACCGAACAAAACACTTCGTTTGGGTTTACCACACCTCCAAAAAGCCCGTCTTTATTTATCGGTATAGCAGAGACATTGCTGTTGTTCTTGGATATGGAAATAGGACCTTGAGAAAAAAAAGGGGAAAAAACATGATTAGGCCCCCCATTTCAGTCTACAGCACCAACAAAATGGAAAAAGATGAATTGCTATGCAGCAGGCAGCTTTTGAGTAAGATTAGACATATGCGTTTATATGCACATCATCTCGCACGCCTATGTGGAATCAAAGGCAATATGGTCTTATCAGAGAGGAAGGAAAATAGATACCACAGCAATAGCTTTTCATTCAGCTCATGAATGTAACTGCTGCGATATGCCCAAAGTAATGAAGTGGCCCAGCCATCAAAATATTTCATATTATCGCAATGGTGACTTCACACCAAGCTTGGAGAAAATTACAGTTCAGCAAGCATGGCATTACCTCAGAATTTCCACTAACTGCTCAGTGTAGCTGTTATTTGTTGGACATCATAAAACAGAAACTGATAAAGGAAAAAAAAAGAGAGGAAAAAAAGTGGCATAATCCACGTAAATGTTTATAAACGTATAGGCTATGTATTTTTATTAATAACAACACTAATAATAATAATAATAATAATAATGCATTTTAATCCAATACTTCCTACAAATAAATATGTGTATTATTTCTCAAAATAGTTTTATTCTCTAAACAGTTGGTAACCTTGCCACACAAGCACATCGAATGACATTCACAAATCCGAAATACACACACACGAATGCTTACAAATAAGTGTTCAGGCCCAAATCCTGCTGCTGCGCCCGTTGTTTCTTTATGTGCTAACCGGAAACAAAAGCACAAGCACTACTGGATAGATCACTAGTGACATTAATAGCTCAGGGGAGACTAATAGGGACAAGAGGAGTTAAACGCAATTATTATGTGTATGTGCAATGTGTATTTTTGTGGATTTATACATGGTGTATCAAATTTAATATGTCAAAGCTTTTACATTGTTAAAACGAAGGAAATTAAATCTAGCCACAGCGCAAGTAAATATGAGAAAACAATTCGATCTCAACACACTCCTGCAGCCCTCTTTGACCATCTGCGATCCGAACGAAACAAAGAGGCACGTAATTGCAAAATAATGACTTAAACTGAAATTTACACAGAAGGCATATGTTTAATTTACTACAAATGTGTTTCATAGTAAACTAAGTCTCTACGCGCGTTTATCATGTCATCTTTAAATGAAACATTCCGCAAATTTTATTAAAGACTACCATTTTAAATTTAGTCACAGACTAAGTCAAGCACCAACATATTAACTCACACATAATAGCTACACGAATAGTGCCCGCTATGGAACACTTGGTTAAAATGGGTTGTGCCTTTTCGTCAGGCTATCTCAAGGCCTACAAATTAACCTGACCTGTCTCAAAGCAAGCACGGGTAGACTTTACGAGCGGAGAGCTGCTAGTGGAAGCACGTACGGTATTTGAGAGGAAATTGCTTACCTTTCTTGATTACAGTTTGGTCTGGGATGTGAATTCCTTGATCTTCAACATGCTGCAAAGATCAAAAAGCATATTAATAATGATAGAAAGTTCAAAAACATCGTACTTTTTGCAAACGAAATAAAATGCAATCCAAAGAGAAAATGCACAAACGCTTTACATAGTAACCTAGTATTCATGACTACGCTCACTATAAACAGCATCTTTATAGAAGTACATATTTTTGACCCATATTAATTACGTCTATAGGTAGGTATTTAATTAAAATTTATAAAAGCTTGAATTATATTGTTTTATATCATAAAATATAACAATAGTAAATATATGTATATTACCCAGAGAATAAACGTGGGGAAACCTATAAAGCATGCAGTTATGGTGGAACAGAGAATTTTGTTCAGACTCAATTCGTCAGATCTCTTCAGCAGGCACATTGCAATCAAATTACTGATGAAAAGGGGGGCAGCCAAGAATCACGTCCAAAAATGACAGACAATATTAATCAAAAAACCCAGTACACCACTCACTTTGTGTTACTGGGATGAACAACAGCGAGAGAGAAAAAAATCAATAATTAATTCATGGGAAAAAGGGACATTACTTTTTTTAAAGTATTTTTCAAATATTTAATATAAAAATATTTTTCAAATATGTTTTTATTTCTCGCGCTATACCGTTTAAAATAGAACTTTATATAAAATTTATTTCTTTCTAAACGGTTTTCCTCATAAAACATGCAACGCCATTGGCCATCAAGACAAAAATGTCGAACATAATTGACCACCACCAGCAAATATACATTTAAATAGTATATTTACATTCAAACAACAATTTAAAAACTGCCACATTTGTTTTACCAACTTCACCCATTTATTCTGACAAAAACCGTTCTGTTGTGCATTAGGCTTACCGTAATATATTCAATAAAACAACTTAAATAATAACAATTTAAATATGTGTCCCGATATTTGACTGTCCGAGATTCTAAAGAGAATAGCACCAGCAGCAAATCCAAATAATGGAGTTGGATTATGGAGGTGACATGTTATAAGATTTAAGCTTTTCTCCTTACCTGAACATCTTCTAAAGAGTGAGGTATTCCATGGATATGGATTGAATCCGTGAGTCCAGTCTCAATGCCGTGACCCGAGGGAAGTAGCACTTCTCTGCGGTACTCTCTGCACAGCTGATGCGGTAACCCGCGGTGCTGGTGCAGCAGGCTGCTCTCCTGACTCTGCCGCTGGCCAGGCCAGCCCGGGTGCTGTGGCTGAGGCTGGGCGTGCAGAGAGTTGATGGAGTACGGGTCATTAACGTGAGAGTAAGGGTCCTGAGACTGCGGGTAGATGGGCTGGTAGGGTGGCGGAAAGTATGGCGGCTGGAAGTCTGAATTGGGCGTGTGAGAGAGCGGAGGAGCGCTGGTGTACGGAGACTGGCCCACGCTGCCCAGTTGGGGTAACCGGGCTGTGCCATTGCTGGTCCCGTCGTGGCGATCCTTAGTAGAGAAATATATAGTGCTGTTTTAGTGCTGTTAATATATATATATATATATATATAACATTTTAAGGAAGAAAAAAAAAGATAAACAGGAGTGATTTGTTATCGCACTTAGTAATTTATTTAAACAAAAATCCGAACATGCCTTTAATCTGGTCAAGAACAAACATATCAAAGCAACAACATTGCATTATAATTAGAATAATATCCATATAGAATAATATGTTATTCTACATTAAAATGTACATCGATAGTTTGCTGTTCATTCAGCAATTGAAGATCCTACTGAGAGGCAAATAAAAAGAATCAGAGCTCACATCAAGTATTAAGTCTTTGTAATAGCATTTTATGCAACCAATTACCGATTGCATGATGGAACAGACAAAACGACAGGATAAAAAATGATTATACATAAATAGAAAACAAACAAACAATCGGAGAGTAAATGCTGAGCGCAGTCTTCAGATTTTTACTCCCGACAGTCACTCACCATCGCGGAAAAACTGTGCACTAACATCAGCGAGGATTTCCGAGGACTTCAAAAGACAAGAATTTTTTTAATTGCAAACGTGCAAATTAAATCAAGCCAACGATAATTGTAGGGCGAGGTGGCGGTGGCCAGCGTTCAAATAAAGCAATAATCCATCAGAATCTGGGTAAATTCCCACTGTTCTTCATCTGCTGTTTAGATGCAATGCTTTTCTCTAAAGTTTCTTAGATCCCCTTGGCGTCTCCCGGCTCTGTCAGTGAACTGTTCCCTCGCTTGAGCTCATGTTAGCACAGATCTGCCTCTTCCTCTGCCCTCCTAATGGTAGATATTCATGACTATTAATATTACACGAATACTTAATAAGAGAAGAATGGTCGGAAATCGAGCGTGAAGCGAGGAAGCAACTCAAGGCAGACTGCACTAAATGACGTCCATTGAATGGGGAATCAGTATATCTAATCAGAGATGAGGAGAGAGAGAGAGAGTGAGTGGGAGAGAGAGGGAGAGAGAGACAAAAGAGGGACATTCTCCTGCGTCTGACGAATCAGAGAGCGGGGAAACATTTTAAAAGGTTCGAGGGCAAGCAAAAGTGAAAGAAAGACAGAACGAGGGGGGAAGAACACAAGCAAGGAAACAATGTGCACGTCTGATTCTGGTGAAAATCCAGCAAACGCTGAGGGCATCTGGGCTGGCACATTTTCACTGTTCACTGGATGTTCGTCTACCTCATTGTTTTTCACATTAGTCTTCGTCTGTTCGTGCTCCATGGCCCACTAAAATCCCTCACCACGAGTTTAACAACGGCCAAGACACATCAACACACGCCGATGAAGCTTAACTCACCGCCAGAGCAAATATTCAACAAACTTTACGCATGTATACTCATCCTACACGCTTCCGTCTAAGCTTTCATGTCATAGGCGATTATTATGAAACAGCATGTAATTACTTATTACCATTAATGCGAGTCTGTGCGTCGAGAGAAAGAAACTCATAAGGACACGCGGAGTGCAGAGATTCTTTACTGATCATGGCGTGTGTGATTCGCCAGAAACGAGCGAAAACACGTTTTACTGGCTTCACCACTCCGAAAACTACTCCCATATATTAGCCTACTGCATTCACCAAACAAATCATGCCAAATACTAGAGGGGAAGACAAGCAAGAACAAAAAAAAAAAAGACAAATAAATTTATTTTAAAACGAAATGATCCACTGCAATTGATGCGTTTGATTGTTTACCAAAACTTACGTTTGGTAAGTTTGTTTATTGTATATTATTCATACACATTTCGATATTACAACGTTTTAATGTTTGTTTGTTTTTTGTACTACAGAACTTCTACAGGCATTTAATGTGTGATACGTGTATGTATGTTATTATTATTATTATTATTATTATGTTGGAAAATTACATGTGTTCTGGATCATGCTGTATTGCAGTATGTTATTTATCACTTGTTCTTGTGTTGAATTCAATTGTACACACAGCAAGAAAAAAAAAAGCTTACTGATTTAAAAGTTAAACCGTTCAGAATTATGGTAAATATCATGCAATATTTGGTATTAAAAGCCTGGTTAAGCCGCTTACCTCGCAGTCTTCATATTTAATATTATCAGTTAATTTCCAAAGCATTTTCATTGGTTGTGGATCGAGTGAAGTGCGCCTTCGCTTGAGTTTGACACAGTGCACAAGGCTCGAGCTGCGCGCTCAGATCTCCCTCTAATGGTGGAAGAGAGAGACTCGAGCGCTACTGTAATAACCCTCATTAGCATATCAAGAGACCAAAGCCAATGAATATACACAGGTAGAAACTGCATCGAGAATTCCAGTAAGAATACCTTTACTGAGTTCCAATTGTATTTCAAAAGGGAACTGTAAATGCAGGGGTTAATATCAGTGGTGAAGGATGACTTCACCTTTTCTTTTGAATTAATCATCCAATTGGTTTAACTCAAAGCGAAGTTAATATGCCAAGTATAACCCAAACCATTAGAAATATTTTTCTTTTTTTTTCTTCTTCTTTTTTTTATCAAAGGCCACACGCTTTGCATAAATGCATTCTTCAAGAAGTTCTAGGTTTTCGACCCAAGAGCAACCTGTAAAATTGAGCAACCTATATATTGAACAATGCTAAACTGCTGCAGCATGCACGTGATTTAGTGGGCAAAACCACACTGATTCCAGTCTGACAATTGTAAACTGTTGTTTTAATCATAGTGAGCCTGGGCCTGTAAAATACTCTCAATAGTGTTATGCAAAAAAGCCGATTCTTCAGTAGATATACATCTATTTAGAGCGTGTAACGTCGCAATTTGATAAATGTAAATAATTAACACAACAACATGGCTTGTTAAATGTGAATGAGGTCAGGAGACAGGTCGCCGAGTCTAAGGCGTTGTCTCTCTCTTATCTCCATTACCATTTTTGGTGGGGTGAGTCCAGTTGTCATTAATGAGAGGCCGAAAGAAACTGAAAGACACAATGACGATTAAGAGAGGCAACGAAAACGCGCAATAGAAATAGATGGGGGTGCTGCTTTGTTGTTCGCTGCTTATTGATTGGGGGTCCGCATCATTGAAACCAATCACACAAAAGAAAAGCAAAACTAGTCTTCATTCTTAGCACTATTTGGTAATCTTCAATGTGGGAACATTGTCCATTCACAATATTCGTATCTAAATGGACATAGTCTGTCAGTTATTTATGGTGTTATATTCACAAAATAAATGACTGATTCGCGTTTATTTTCTGGTTTTCTTTCTTGTTTGGTTTTCTTTTCTTTTATTTTTTACAATGTCATAATGGGTCACATCAACTTGAGGATCGTGTTTTACACACACACACACACACACACACACACAATAAAAAAAAATAATAATAAAGAAATACACTGACTTATTATTGCAGGATTACAATGTCATAATGGGTCACATCAACTTGAGGATCGTGTTTTACACACACACACACACACACACACACACACAATAAAAAAATAAATAAATAAAGAAATACACTGACTTATTATTGCAGGAAAAAAGTAGTTTATAGAGAAAATAATAAATAAATCAAGCCTTTCCCGTTCATGTTACTATAGGAAAATGCGTAACGTAGGCCTGCACAAAATGACCAGATTGCAATAATATCGGAAATGAGTTGAGTCAAATTAAAATATTTACACCAGTGTGCAAAATGAAATAAACAGCCTGCGTATCCAATATCTAACAACAAATTTGGACTCTCTCACCAGCCACCCTGAGCGTGCTTTATTTTAGAGAAATCTGATCAAGAGATTATTTTTCACCGCTGTCTCGCCTTTGCCTTCACCCTATCTTTCACCGTCTCAAACGCAAACCTACCTGCGTGAACTATACAGCTTTTGTGTGTAGCATTTTATTTACATTGGTTAATGACTAATACTGTCTGTAAAACCTTTCTGAAAAGTTACCGTGTAGAAGACTTAATTCTCACTTATATACAAAAGTAAAACGTGCTCCTTCATCACCCTCATATACCTTATAAGGAAGAGAACGTACCTGCCAGTCTCCCATTTTGCCCATTAACGACATTCTTGTGTCTTCTTTCTGAATGTGGTACATCACACAGTGTTATCTCATTGGGTCTTGTGTCCTTAAGCAAAATTCCACTTTACCTGAACAAAATCTACTCACCTGGCAATAAAAACAGAGGACCAACTCACGGCGCATGCGCTCTGCTACTGGCACGTGTAAGGCAACAACACCTAGAAAAGGTAAAAGCAGTGTTGAGATACCTGCTGCACATTAGCTCGAAGAGAAAGCAGCGAGAGTGTGTTTTTTTTCCAACCTGCTGTTTTAAGTGTCAAAATGTTAAAACTGAATCTTGTGCAGTCAGCATGCCTAAAAAGTTTCAGTGTTTTCAGATTATATATTGTACATACATCGTAGGCTACATCGTGTGTTTTCAGATGACGTACTGTAGTTACATTCGTTGCCCCTAAAATAAAAGGTGTTTATTCCTTAAAAAATTAATCAAATACATTTTTACTAATTTAAGGTAGCACTGGTAATTTTTCACGCCATTGTTAACATACTAATAATAATAATAATAATAAAACTAATGAACAAAAGGGGGAAAAGATGTAAGCTTATGAAAATACAAAGTGTAGGCTAATAAAACAAATATCACTGATACAATTTCAAAATGAAAATCAAATGTAAGTGAATTTAAATTAGACAGCAATTTCAAAAGGCGATAGACCTTTAAGCACAAATGAATGAAGTGCAGAAATGCATGCACTCGTCTGATACTGAAGCGTGTGGTCAGAGATGTCATTGGGATCAAGAAAATAAATGTGTTTATATTTTAATACTTATAATTAAGTATAGCCTATAGCCTACAAACTGACATTTTATTATGAAAAATAGAACATGGAATTTTACGTTGATGTTGTTTCTCCAAAACACTCCATTAAAATGCAGGTCCGTCAAAAACAGCTCCGAGATTTGCTCATTCAAGACATCGGTTAGTTCTTGATCAATATTGACAAGACTACTGACAATTTCATTAAAATAATTTGTTAAACTTTTGTGCCAACTGCCAAGCATGAAATGTGAGTGACATTTTCTAGGCTAGAGAATATTGTCATGTAAATGTTCTCCCTCTAAATCACCTGAAGTTCCCCGGCGCCCTCTTTTGGACAAGAGTAGATACTCTTTTCTATTTAAGTCAGCAGGCTTTAGACCTGTCTATTCCACGTTTCAAGCTGTCCACTTGACGCATTTGACGGTTATGATTCCGAGAGAGCCTCAAAATAGCTCTAATTTGCTATAAATTATATTTATGAGCATACTTTTAATGGGGGTTTAAAGGTATTGCAATCCAATAAAACATTAAACTTCATATATACGGTATGTTTCTAATTTTGGTCATCTGGCGCTATCTAACGATGGTTTTTAAAACTGCAACAACACTACAATTTACTTTATTAATGTGGATTGCAAACAGAAAAAAAGGTCATGCCTACGTGCCTGGTTGAATACTTGTTTAAAACTATAAAATAAAGAAAAAATAAATAAATAAATAAATAAAAAAGAGATTAGTTAGGAGGCGCAAGCATGCGTAATAAAATAAAACCACAGGTAATTTCAATGTTTCTGATTTAATTTTAATGCCATGTAGCCAATAATAAGCATAATACATAATATTTTCCCAAAGAATCCCAGATCAGCTTTCCTGGAGACTTTGGACTGTTTCCAGATTAGCTACGTTTCACCATGGCAACAACAACAATGTTGTCCTAACTCTGCTACCAGAGAGTGTATCTAGACCACAGGGAACAGAAACACTGACATATTGTGAAAATATATTTTCACTTGTTTATTTGCTTGGTTAACCTGATTATAAAATATTTTGATGGAATGTTTTGTGGAGTCCATGGAGGGCAGCTCACCAACAGCATCCAGGTGAAAACAGGAGTTAGGCAAAGATGCCTGTTGTCACCCTTCCTGTTTCTTTTTGCCATTGACTGGATTATGGAGGAATCCACTCGAGAGTGAAGGAACTGAATCCAGTGGGCCACATGGACCCAGCTCGAGGATCTGGACTTTGCTGACGACCTTGTACTTCTCTCCCACAACAAACAGCAGATGCAAGAGAGGACTGATGTAGTGATAAATATTTCATCTCAGATTGGCCTCATCGTTAACAGAGATAAGATCAAGATCCTCAAGATAAAATCCACAAGTAAGGATCCAGTCATGCTGAATGGAAGTCCCCTACAAAAAGTCCAGTCCTTCACCTTGGGCAACAGCATCACTGACCAATGGCACAGACGCAGATATCAAGGCAATGATTGGCAAAGCAAAAGTTGCCTGCATACAGCTCAAGAACATCTGGAGCTCCAGAGACCTGTCCTCGGCAACTAAGGTCTGCCTGTTCAACTCTATAACGTGAAGTCAGTGTTGCTG